CAACAGAATAGTAAAGTAATAGTATATGTAACAGGAACAGCAAGGACTCGAGGTACTTCAGTGAAACTGTTTCTGATATAACCAAAGTTAGAATTGGAAAACAATTTAGCAGTATTACAATTGCAAGAGGTTTTCTAATCTTAATGCTGTTCCATCTTTTTCCACTGAAGTTGGGTACAGCAGTCTTAGTTAATGAGAAAGCAGTAAATTACATGTTTTTTTTTTTTTACTATTAGACTTCTCACACCTGACAGCAATATTGAAAATTGTCACATTAAACAATTAAGAGCATCACACAGATGCTAATTGAACAAGTGATGATTTTGGTTTAGCACCACTCTTGACAGCAGGATGGTTAGTTACCTTCCCTATATTTCAATGATATTTGAATTAGGTTTGAGAGTTTTCAAATACCAACAAAGATGGAGAAGCTTATTTAAATTTCTGAAGTTCTTTACAGAAGGCAACCATTTTACCCATTACAAAAATGCACCAACCTGTCAGAGACATTGCCACCCTTTAGCACCACACAACTCTTAACAACTAAAGGCAATGACCACTCCCACAAAAATCTTCAAAAAAAGCCTTTTAACAGCTACATTTTCAACACCGGACTTTGGACAGGATAAGCAACTGCATTAGTGCTCACAGAGTGCAGAGTCTCAAGTGTTCCACTGATGCAGGCTCTACCTACACAAGGGGCACAGGGACAACCGCGTACTTTAACACTGGCTGGAGAACACCATTACGTTGAACACGTAGAAGTGATTTTCCAATAGGTACAAGCTGTGAGGGGACCTGTGCGACCACTAATTACCTAGACTTGAAATATTTTCTGGAGGATACAGACACACCTACAATTCTTCTGTTCATGCGCAGGCATGACTCACCCTCCTCAGACAGCATGCTAACCTGGGCCTCCAAGTCTGGAATTCTTTAGGATTACTGTTACAGGCTGTAACTTCCAGGGTAGGTCCCCAAGCTCTGCCTGCACCCGGGAGCTGAACATGCTGGGTTGCTCTGCGATTCAGCTGCACTCCCACCCTGGCGGGTGGGAATCCTCAGGGTTGTTGTATCCTGCCGCCGTAACACTGGTTAGGAATCACTTGCCAGAGACTTCCACGACCCACGGCTTGTCTCTTGTGACATGAAATTTTAGAAAGAAGTCCAGTGGATCAGAAGAGTTGAACATTGTGTGCCAGCTTTTCAAAAACGTAGTTTTAAGTACAAAGATGCACAGAAAACACTAAGTATGCAGGTCCTTCCCATTGCATCTGAAAGGAACTCACTTGGTAATTCACCTTCCAAACTTCTTTCTCAGTGGAGGGGCAAGCAAATCATGGAAGGTTGATGTTAGTCACGATAGGGAGGAAAATCCCCCATGGAATTTCAGGCAGACAAGCTCAAGCAAAAGGAGAATTGAATGGGAAGTTCATAACTGAAGTGAAGTTTTTATAGTTTAGGTGACAATAGGTCTGACTATTGCTTGGTCTAAGTTCTCAAAACCCAATAATTTAAAATAGTTCTTTTTAAGGAGAATTAGTTTCAGCCTTAAAAATTACAGTAATCCACATTACTGGCCTTTCTTATTCTAGCTGCAGTGCATGCACAAAGAGGCAGGTATGCAGAGAAAAAAAAACGGCTACAGCTGAAGAAAAATGGACACTTCCAGGCACCTAATGCTCAAAAAGTGTATCCCTTTCTTTTATTTAATGAAATGTACTTTTCTCCTCCTATGAAACTTAGCTTTTATAGCTGGAGACTAAAGATAATAACAGTACTATTAGTAATACACACTGGTAAATTGCATGGCATAACCCCAATTAGTTATCATTCATTATCTAGGGTCAATACAGACAGCTACAGAAATGCTCAACCTCTCCTTACTGTAAAGTACGTATTTTTTAAATTACACACATAACATATGGGACAAAGAATGTGACAGTATTCATTTTATTTTGGGGGATTTCTTTTTGCCAGCTAAAATAGTTGCATTGTTCAAAGGCAGGGCTTAGTTCAGGACTCTCTATTTGTTGCAATGTATTACCCCAGGCCTGATGCAGCTGAGCTTAAGGTAAGTTTTCTTTTTGTGCAAGTAATGCCTTCTATTATTTCAAGCTTTTCCTCCAGTCCTGCATACTTGTAAGTTTTCCGCAACTTTACTGATTACCATATAAAAAGTAGAAATCCCTGCGTAATGAATAAAGGCAGGATTGTTACTGATACATTAGGCACCAGCTACTTCGGCTATTAAGAAAGCTTGCTCTACAGAAGCTCATCTCAGTTCTTAAAAATTCTTCATACTTTACAAAAAGCCACAAGTTTATCCTCTGGCACTCCTCAGTCCTGATCTCTTACTCTTCCCATGGAAGCTTCCACAATGCTGTTAATTCTGTACAAAGACAAGAGCTGAAATACTTAGGAAGTGCTCTATATTAAGACTAGACTCTACAGGAATATCTTCTAACATGCCTCTGATACGCTAGCACAAATTGAGTTTTCTGATATATGAACTAATGTGGCATTCAAGTTTTCATCTCAGTAACCTCAGTAATACAAATTGCTTTCCTGTTAAATGTTTTCCATACATTATAATATTGTATATAGCTTTATACATCATCTAAAAGTTGGTTAAAAGGTAAAATGTTTTAAATAAGTTTCTCCAAAGCACTGAAAGTTAAAAATAACTACAAACCAGGATTTTTCTTCATAATTTTTAATACTTTTCACTTTTAAATACTAGTTTTAAATTTGTGATTGTAACATGGAAGAGCCAACTTCTTTTAATTTTTAAAACTTATCATTAGGATCATAAAGCTATTATAGAACAAACAGTTACACTTTACACACTCAAGGTACTCAAAAATATGATTCATGTTTTAAGTCTGTAGATGAACAGTGGCAATTCAAATACAGCATTATCTGTACAACTTGACAAAAATACAGGTGGACAATCTGATTAGTTTAAAGAGGATCTGCACAACTTCAGATAAGCCAGCTCAGCCCAATTAAGTAAAAGGTAATTTTTTTTTTTTTTTCCCCCAAAGTGCATCACATTTTTCACAGATAAATTTGTCAAAGAAAGATGTTCAGATTCTCAGACAGGATAACAATGACCATCTCAACCTCATTACCAATACAAGTTCTATCAAGTCATTTCCTTCAGATCTAGTTTGGCAACATTCAAATTCTCTGAACAGACACAGATATTCAGAGAACGCTATCTGATGGAGAAGATTGCTGCATTCTCAGCCCTTCAAATCGGTTCAGCTTATAAAAACATCCATTCTAGAGTCATGAGCTGCTTCTGCAAAGACCACCACAGCTATATAAATACTGCCGATCCATTAACAGGAAGAAGTGCAGAGATACATGGCAGTGGCTAAAAAGAGGGATGGGCTCAAGACACAGGGCAAATTTTATAAAATTACAAAAGCAAGATCCCTTCCAGAAGAAAGGATCTAATAGCTACTTGCACACAGACAATCTGAGAGGCCTACAGAGAATGGCCTTTTTTCATTTCTTTTTACAAGAGGTCAATTAATACCGATTTCTCAATCCTGCAAGTCCTTCCATATTCTTTAAGAAGCCTCTTACAACTCTGATTGGGCAGGGCTAGCTGTAGTGAAGTACCAGTGCCTTTATCTAAAAGTAAAACGTATTCTTTACAAATAGTAATCTGTAGTGTAATTTTATTTACAGAATAAATTGCAAAAGTACATCACATTTAGTGCAAATGCAACTAATGATATAAGTTTATATACTGCCTTGTAAACTTTCCATACCTTTGTAAAATAAAGCTTTCCAATTAAATTAATAAACTCGCCTGTGTTCCAACAATTACCAGAAATGGCAAATAAGGAGTTAAACTCTTTACATTTTGGATTTTTTTTTTTTTTTAAGTTCCCATCAGTGGCTATGAACCATTGCTCGGTTGATTGTAAAAAGATGAAGTACATTTGAGGTATAAGTTTTTTTTTTTTTTTTTTTTAAACATCATTATATAAAATGCTCACTGGTGATACAGTAAACATGTACAAATTTTCATCTTATTTGCCTTACTAGTATTACCATATAGGCACTTTTCTACATATTCAAATTAACAGAATAACTCTGTAATAAGGCATATTCCATGCACACCATTAGAGAAAGGCAAATAAAAAGGGAAGAGTTATGGAGCATGAAATCTGCATGCATGTGTAATCATGTTATGTATGATCTCATCTCTACAGAGAAGATGAACAGATAAAGTTTTTCAACACTGTGCAGATCACATTGAATCGTTTACCAAATCTTAAGTTACTATATTATATTTATTTTCAGGCACCTACCATACTATATCAAATAAAAGACTTTCAGCTTTCTTTTGAAAAAAATATATCTGAAACTTTTTTCTCAAGATACATGGGTTAGTGAAACACTGAGCAGTCTTCGAAGAGTTTCCAACTACACGACATGGATAAAAGATGTCGAAGTCAGTACCAGTCTGCCACAGTCCTCTCCTAATAAGCACCTCCAGAATCAAAGGCAGGCAAATATCTGACATTTAAATTCTCACAGCAACTAAAGGGAACTTTCCAGTAAGAGCTACACATCCTTATAGCTCTGACAGGTTTTTCATCAAAAGGCAAGTAATTTTCTACGTGAACCTCATAGCATGGCTTTATTAAGATGAGGAAAACCCATGCAGGATCTGAAAATAATGTATTCATCCTCATTCTAGACTGGGAATGTTGTCTTATGTAGTTCAATAAATATTATAGTGTACCTTCTCACAGCTTCGGGAAAGTCCTGGATATCATGCAAGAAAGCAGTCCACATATAGCATGGACAGATGATTTCTAGCTTTCAGGCAGTCTCTTGCCCTCTCATACAGAATCTTCCTAGATATTTCTGGATCATGTTTAATAACAAAAATTCTGTACCACATATTACATAACTAAAAAATACAATAGAAATATAAAGATATCTGGAAAAAAATAAAGCTTTTCACACTCTTACTCCTTCAGAACCAAAGATCTTCATAAGAGTAAGACAATAGAAAAGGCAAAGTCATAAGGATATTGACAGCCCTCAGTTATTAACTGACATTTTATGTAACAAGATGATTCATTATAGAAACCAGCAGCAATGAACTATGATTATACAAAGCAAAACAAAACCTGCCAATAAGTCCCCTAGGCTTTACTGAAGTTCCTCCCCCTGCCAAATGCCACAGATTTTTGTGCATATAAAGCACATACAGTATGCTATATGTGCATTTGTCTTTTGTGCTTTTTAGACATGCACAAAAACTGTGCGATTATCTTAGGAAGGTTGACAGTGAAAATTCTGCAAGTTGTTTAAAATTAAAGCAGTAACCCACATTGGTGATTCAAAGTTGTACACGTTCTTCCTCTTCTAAAGCAAGCAAATAAAAACAGAGCCATATACATGTTATCAATACATGTATTTATAATTACACACTGATTCAGCAAGAAAAGGTAGCAGGAGAGCGCTAGTGTTAAATATTCAGCCTCATGGTATCGCAACACTTCTTCACTTCAGTATACAAAGCCTAGAACTTGGGCCATAAAAAGACTGTAGATCCTTCGTTCCAGCATGGAGCTCTATGCATGGTCACTTCTCCAATGTGGAATGCTCACCCAGTCTTGTTCCGATTGCTGCAGGTAAGCAAAGACAAAAATACAGCACTGAAAAGTTTAAACACTAAGAGGAAAACAAGAACTTGTTAAACACCTTAAATAGTATCAGCACTGCTATGATCACGTTTGAACTCCTGGCTCATGACAGCTGTGTTTTTAACGGTTCACCTACACTAGTTCTCTAACATAAAACATACAACTAAAAATGTGAACCATTACAGTGCTATCTGTTGCAGAAGGATCAAATGACTAAGAGTTTTGTAGTCTGACATAATAAATAGAACCCAAAACCAGAGGTAGCCTATGTCATGCATAGAAAAAGTGATAAAAACTTATTTTCAGATCATGCTGTAATACTAGAACTACCAAATGGAATTTGATGGTTTGACACTACAGTTATACATAATGAAACATATAGCAAGAGTCTACACTAACAAAGATTAAGTGAAGCCTTACTTAGTGCTAAGGCTTGTCTGACAGATTCAGACAGCCCCCAAAGTGATCAAGAAATCCTCTTCTAATGTCATATCATCATTTAAATGTTAAATTAATTTTAGATTAGCCCCATGACCTATACCATTAAAATACATCCATTGACTTCAGAAAGCACCTGTAAATCCCTTTTCTTTCTTAGGCTCATTAGCAAGGCTAAAAATTTAAGTCACACTCTTTTAAACAGTTCAGTAATTAACACTGGTCTGTCAGAAAAGTTCCATTACTAACAATTCTAGATCAAAACTATTCTGTTAATATAAATGAATACTTCGACCTTCATAATATTCTATCAAACATGCAACTATACGTAGAATTTAAGATATCAAAACCTCATGAGGTTCTGGAGAAACTTCAGTGTGTGTTCTTTTCAAAACAAGTATAAAATGCCTGCGATAGCTGAGAAAAAACAATACTTCATCCTTTTATACTTCTACATAAATTAGACATGTATGCACAAACTTGCAAAATAAACTAGTGAAAGTCCACAAAAACTAATACTTGATAACTTCTGCAGCCCTTATCTTTCATGCTAATAATACACATGAATTACATGAATGTTTTTTAAAAGTGTATTGCATACACACACTAAAACTAAACACTGAATTCATGCTAATTATAAGCCATTTCTAGATTGTGTACTTCTGTTTGGCCTTAAGTTTACAACAGTGAATCAAGAATGAAAAAAAATGAATGTGTACCTGCTAATACTAGAATAAAATAGGCTTTCCTGCTGTTTTCTCTTGGACGTATGATGTAAAACGCTTCAAGAATTTTGGATATTCTCGTTTTGCCACTGCCCGTAACACTGATGCTGGCGCCCATCCTCCTGGGTTCACTAGAATTAGAGAGGAAGACAGACATTGAAAATAAAGCAAATCTGCTAAAGGCTAGAAAAGTAGATTTAAGTTAATTATTCTTGCAACTCTTTCTGAAGTAACAGGAAAGAACAATGATCAGACTTTTTTTTTTATGTCCTTACAGCTTGTATTGTAGCGCTTTCTGCTCTTGTATTCAAGCTCAGTCCAGTTCTATGATGCCACTATTTAGAAAACATTAAACATGATGTGTTGGAAGTCTTTGGGGAATACCCAAATGGAAGGTGATATTCTCTAAGGACTTCCAGGAAACAACAGAAAAAGAGACTCGAGTTACTTCTTATTTCAAAGAAAATAGAAGGCAGTCTTAACTTTTCAATAACTGCTGCGTTTCTCTGCAGAACTGCTACATAGCCAATGTGTTACAAATTATTTTAAAGCACTTTAAACAAAGCTCAAACCGATTTGAAAATGTTTCAATTCACAGAGCAAGTATTTTGCTGAAAAAGCTGCCACTTCCCATATAATCACTGTTCATAATTTATCAACAAAAATGTATTTTTTAAGTAATTGAGAAACTTCTAGAAAGGAAACAAAGCTGCTTACCCCAGAGTTTAACACCACACAGTATTATTTATACAGGATTTATATTAAATTACATCACTCCTATATGGAAAAGATTTACCGAACCAATTTTTCAGACTCTCATTCTTTAGTAAGCCATGCAATAGGTAGTTAGAAGTAATAAGCAGGCGAGCTACTCTAAGTGTTTTGCAGCTACAGGAGAGGAGCTAGTAAGTATGTAACTCCAATACTACAATACACTGCTAAACACTGAGCACAGTACCAATACAGTTTGGCTCTGATAACTTTTCAGTCAATACCAAGGATTCTATCAGTTAAAAAAATAAAAAGTAAACTAGATTATACAGCTTGCAAATATCCTCATACAAAATGTATTTGCTCCTTAATACTGAGGGTAAGAACTGTATCTTCACTATCAGCAGCTTTGTTTTCAGCCTAACAAGATGAATTGGGAGGGGGGAGGGGGGAATTTACAGCAATCCATGAAAAAAACCATACTATTAATGAAACTAAAAGCTATGTCAAGTCGTCCCAGTTGCAGACATTTCTTCCACCCACCCTCCTCCACCCAAAGTTCTCTACTTAGGACTGAGTTACACACCACTTCCATTTATTCCTCCCAGAATGCCACACAATGAATGATGCCATTCACTGATTCATGTAGCACATTAATTTGAGTCTTTTTGAACATTAAGACCACAAGCATGATGCTATATATAAATTTAACAGAAATGTGCATCAAGCTTTTTTTGCCAGTATTCAGCTCCCCAGAATTAGCATATATCATGAATGTCATACTGAAAAATTTTTGACTTACCATTAGCTACATATGTAATCTTGCATAGGATGTTGTCCCTGCTTATTTCCTTGTTCCCCTCTGGTGGGCTTACTAATGTCTGACAAATCATAGCAATATTTATTTTGGCACGGACACAGCGATTGTTTAGCTGCCAAAGAAATGAAACATTTGTAAGCCTCAAATTTGTTTCGGCATACTTGACTGCTGACATTTTAATTTACTATGAAGTCTAAGACACTCCAGAAGCTGTGTTTCTGAGAGTCTGCATTCTAGCACTACATGGATTTAACATAAATGTGAGTTAAATAAAAAGGTACATGGTGAATAGGCAAAGGGTTAAACGAAAATGCCTGAATCTCAGGTTTCTGCTTGCTTAATGCATATTACAAGTTAATTACTTCTATTATTGTGACAAATGAATAAGGAAACATTTAAAGAATAATGTATCAGCATTTACAAATATCAGTAACTTTTCCCTTGTAAGCAGGCTATGGCATAGCAATCAGCACAGAAATACTCCAAAGAGCACAGAAATACTCCAAAGAAAACAATCATTGCTACTATTTGACAGAACCAAGGCAGAACTGTGTAAGATGGGGGTTTAACAGATTCCATATCCACTATTGTACAAGTCTACTCCTGTATCTGACAATACTGAAGAGTTGTTTTGATTCCATACAAAATAACCTCAATTCTTTAAAATGTTTTCACTTATCCAGAAATTTTGCTTCCATTCTGCTGCAACACCTTAGATCTGCCAACTGTTGAGATAAGGCAAGAAAGCTTTTGGCTCAGAATGCCTTCATCAGATCACTGTATCACCTGGTTTAAAGAAACTGTATTTTGCATAACCCCCCCACCTCCCTCATACTAGTACTGCACATGCATTATCACATAACAGAAAGACATTATCTTAAAAGCAGAACTTGACAGAATGAAAATACTACTTACAGGAGCACTGTCATGTTCCACAGAGAAATTGCACACAATCCATGTTTCAGGATCATTTTCACTGAATGGTGCTATCTTTCTGATGGCAGACAAATACAGCACATCCCTTTGAGAAGCTGGCCACACCCTCTGTAGAGAAACACCTGAATGTAATTTGCAAAACTCGAAAGGCTTAAGTACTTACTATTCTTAGATAAAGGAAAAAAACAAGCAACACAAAACTGGTCAGTAATGTTATTTAAGTAAAAGTTCCTTCAAGTTAGTAATTTAATTTTCAAAACTGAAACAGAACATAGCTGTTGTACAAACGGCAAAAGTTTAAGGCCTTTGAAATGCAGGAAGCCAACCTGCAATGACTTTTTCAGTAGACTAACAGGAAGAGGCAGTTCCCCTCCTGTTCCCTCAACCTCAGGTTTACATTTTAGTTAATACTTGTAAGCTACAAACTCAACTAGTGGTTAAGTATAAATAGATGCATCTACAGTTACTTAGGTCTCCAGAGACTGAGTGAAATATTTAAAACAAGTATTATTTCAAAAAGCTACTACTTAGTAAGACAGATATTGTAAACTAGTATTTTCTAAGAGAAAATTTCAGAAGCAAAATGTCTGATAAATAAGAAAATGTACAAAAGCCATTTTCCTGACACTCAATAGGGGGAAAAAAGTCTAGCTTTTACCACAACACTATACAGTTTACACAACTGTCTTATAATCATGAGTCCTCTATTACAGAAGTTTTAAGGTAACTGCATTACTGGTAAAATTGCCAAAGAAAACTATTTGGTTTAATATTTGAGTATACTAATACTTGGAATCATGCTAGATTAAAGATGAATCTGCACACTTTGTTCCCTTTGCTTTTGAACCTCTAAATGGCAGTTGTTGGGTTATAATTCAGATAAACAGTTTAGTAAAGCTACACCAGGACTGGCTGTGGGGGGAAAAAACATAATGAAGTTACAAGAAAAAATGTTGTACCAGCAATTATACCACCTCATAATGCAAATGTGTATGTCAACTAAGTGTGGTCAACAATAGCTTGTGTTATTGCAATAAAACATATGATACAGTGGTATGGCTTTCTTCCTTGTAGTCAGTGTTACCTACTGCTTCCGTCTGCTTTAAATGACTCTTGCTTGCTGGTAGTGATATATTTAGAGATTAAAAACAGTCCTCATTTGTTCTTACAAGCTCTATCACACACGCACACAAGCAATTATGCTATGAAGACAAGTCTGAAAAATTGACAAAGTTGCAGTTTAATAGAGAACTTGTTCTGAACTGTTGTTCTGAACAGCATTTTAAGTTGTTAAGCCATTAAAGTATTTCAGAGTAACATTAAAACATATATGCCTCAGACTATCTCAGTAAGATATGCATATGGCTGAAGTGTAATTACCTTATGTGTCTGGTAAATGATGATTGCATTATCAGCTAAATTTTCCACAACATGGAAATTTTCAATTGTTGCTAAAAGAGGGGGAGGGAAGATAAAATCCATCAGTTAGCAAACACAGACACTACGTCAGTGTTATAAATAATATACTTGCTGATAAACATGCAAAGCTCAAAATTCCTTACTTTCCCAGTCATTACGAACATCGACGTTCCAAAAGTAGTGGCAAACTTCATGCCCTGTTACCCCTTTAACAGCATGGGTTGCTTTCAAAGGATCTAAAACTATACCATTCTCTTCCACCTCTCTTCTGTATACCTATAGCCAAATACAGAGAAAGAAATGTAAAACAGAAATTGTCAAAACTATTCATGTTTTAATTGTTTAAAATTTTACAAGGTTTTAAAAAAAAAACACCTAGAAGACTAACACATGAATAATTTGCCATGTCAGTGTTCTCTGGTAACTACCAATGCAGATATTGTTACGTGGCAATTCACATTAAAATACCAGTATTTTAAGAGTCTCTACTGCAGAAACAATTAAGCTACCTTATTTATCACTATGCATAAGGATCCACACAAGCACAACAGAGCAGCCAACACAGTAACTTGCTACTCTAACATTTCTGTACATTGAATTTACACATCATTTTCATACCAAGTTTTAAGTAGGAGAGAATGAGAAAGGAATCAGCAAAGATAAAGCTACTGAAAGAGTTACATAGGATTTTGTATGAATAAATATATTAGAAGCCACAGCTCTTGCGGACTCCAGTCCTAACTTCAATAATGGTATTTTCAGAGGGAAGTTTTAACAGCATAACTTGCTGACTGATAGTATTCCCAGAGAATCATAGAATCATTTAAGTTGGAAAAGACCCTTAAGATCATTGAGTCCAACAGTAAACCTAACACTGGCAAGTCCACCAGACTGAAAGTATCTGTCTTCATAGCATATCATCCTATATCAATTAAACAATAACCCAAATATTTACCTTCATTTCTCCTTCTTCTACCACTAGCTGCCAATTGGCATCTCCTCCTACATCTTGCAAAGAATATGTCATATGGTTCTGCACCATCTCATCCACCTTTAAAGGAAAAAAAATACACATTTTTAACTCATTCCTTCCATCTTCTTGGGCAGACACTATACAGTATCCAAAGCCACCAGTCAATACTTCAAATCCTGCGCAGGACCTGAATTTGGACAACAGAGCTTTCTATTGCAGGTTAAGAACAAGCAGAAACTTCTGGCCTCCAGAAAAAAGCCAAAACGTTGATTCAACTTCCAACTTCATTCTTTACAGGTACTTCCTATCCTTCCTTTGCACCTCTGAACAGTCAAAACTCACTATTTCTACCTAAGACAGTTTTATTTCAACATACAGGAACTTACTTCAGGTATCTCTAAATACAATTACAAAGCACTGTAAGATATTCACCAAAGAGCATTTAAAAAGCTGAAGAAAGGTGGGGGGATGGGGAAGAAGACAGGCAAGCTCTAAAAAAGTGAATGCATATCAAAAGTCATGTTGGAAGAGCAGTGAAAGAAACAGTCATGAACAAAGCACACCTATTCTGTTTCATTGGCATCTTTGCACAGTTGCCAGCTAGAAAAAAAGAACAGAAACGCTTACATTCAAAAAAATTATAATGATACAGAAACTCTACTATTTTAAAATACTAATTTAAAAATTATTTAGCTAGAGAGTTGTGTGCTTTTCTTAAAGGCCAAATATTTGATACATTTTTATCAAGCTATGTGAACACCCCTTTTTTTATTCCATGTAATGTGCATGACAATGGGTACTGGGACAGGAAATGGATTTTTAGTTTAAATCTACAATCTTACTCTGTTTCTTTGGTTCCCCACCCCTTTCCAAATCCCACTCTCCCCCAAATAAAAACAGAAGCAAAAATACAAGGTATCCATTGCTGCGTAATGTTTACAAGTACTGGAAACAGTTTAATTAATAACTAACACTTGTCACAGCAAACAAGTTCATCTGATTGACACTATTTTCCTGAATTACTAGAAATATCTTTTTTTTTTTCCCCTCAAAAGGAAAAGCACTACCAGCACAGGTTAGTTAATTGACCAACACAAAGATTAGTCTAAGGAGTGCACAATCACAAGATTAATAGCTTGAACCCATAAGTAGTTTTGCACAACTTAGAAAAATATGAAGCCTAGTGTGCATATAAAATAACATATAAAGCATATTTGCACAAGTAATACAAGTAGAAAGCAAAATTAAAGAATACTTAATGATCTTTTTCTCATACGATATAAAATTGAAAGATGTTATTTGCTTTTAATTTAAGGCAGTAATTTTGTTTGTACTATATGCTCCATGGACAATACACTTAAGACCAGGAAGAAAAAAGGTAATTGAATCAAGTCAAAATCCTCAAAGTACAACATGAAAATAAAATCCATTGGATGGAAATTCTAGTTTATCTTATTTTAACTACAGACTACTCTACAGAAGCAAAAGTTACCAGTCCAGTTTTTGGGGTTTTCTCTTGGGTTTTTTTTTTTGTTGTTTTCTTTTGGGTTTGAGTTATAATGAACTAAAAACACCTACAAGATTTGTGTTTCTGCTCTTAGGTGACCATCTTTTCCTGGCAGTTACTAGCAGGTTTCCTACAAAAGATTCTTCTTCCGCCCCCGCCCAGTGAAACAATGACAGTACAATCCAAACCAGGTAAGAATGTGGGCTATTTAAATATTCAACTTACTATCTCTAGGTCACACACTTCCTTCAGAAAGGAATCCTCACCATGCTCCCAACATTTACCTGCAACACCTTCAGGTCCCTGTGTCTCTTCTGCCCTAGCTCCTAATCTATTAAGGATAAAGCTAGCTTTTATGTTTGTTTTGTGTTTTGCTGCTTTTTGATTTATGCTAAATGCAGAGGGATGAGGGGAATAGCAAGGGAAGAAGAGAAGGAGGCATCCACATGAGTGCAATCTGAACAGTTTCTTTCTTCTGCTTCACCAAAGATTTGCAGTACCTATGACTGCCTTGTGCATCTACCTGTCCAAACTGTATGTAATCCACACACTGGTTGCTGTCTATCAACCTGCACATATTTCAGAGGCACAGAGTCAAGATTCACAGCTTCTTTCCCACTGGGAAGGCCACACTATTACCTCTGGGTTCCTGGCAGGCTACAGTAACTTGTAACCTGTATGCCATGCAGCCTTGGCCTGAACATGAAGTGGGAAGTTCTTCACTCTGAAGGCCCTCAGAACAGCTCAATCTATTTTCAAATATGATAGTCCTTTGAAAGAAAGTGATCTGCAAAACATCTACAGCATTTTAAGCCCACAACCTCCCACTCAACTGGCAGACAAATCAATGCCTTTCTAGAGGCACACTGAAGAACCAGCTCCCATCAGAGTATATGTTTATACTTCTCAGTCTTAAAAACAAGGCTGCAAGTTTCTATTTGACCTTTTACTGATACCAAAATTCCCTTCTGTCCTGGTTTCGGCTGGGATAGAGTTAATTTT